CCTCCAACACAACCTGGGCTGCTCCTGTCCAATCCAGCACGCTTCAGCCAGGCAACAACCAAGCAGCAGAAGACAGCAGCACTGCAAAGTAACACCAGCAAAGCTACCTCTGTCACCCAAAGCGTTAAGAATTGTTGCTTTAAAATGAAATCTGCAATGCCACAGGAGTAAATGGTTCAGTTTCCTTCACCCACAAGTGCTTTGTACCAGCTGCTGGCAAGAAATGACCCATGGCCCTACGCTAAATAGGTTTGTTTGGAGTAGGTCAGGCCAAAAGGGCATCATGGGATTTGTTGGAGAGCCAGGAATTATGCCAAGGACTGTAAAAAGCCTCTCCTCTTATCTTATTGCTTACTTAACCTCACCACAGAGAAAGCTCTCAAGGACGTGCCAGGCTGGAGCCTTCCTGCCTCCAGAACTTGAAGTCTGGTCTCCTGGCTCCAGCATGCTTGGGCTGCCTTTGCCAGGGCTCCCAATGAAATCCGCACTCCAAAAGAGCCTGTGGCAGCAGAAAAACTCCTACTCACCCGAGCAGATGGAAAAAAACCCAACAAGCTAAAAGGTTGCATTGGCCTCCCTGATCCAGGGAGCAACCTCTGCCCAGGGGCACTGAGGAATGGGACAGACAGATCTCAAAAGGCTGCAGGTCCACACGAGGTCCCATCCAGAGCTATTTGCATCCAAAAGCAGGGCTGACAGGCAGCATCTTTCTTTTCTGTGCTCTCAGGGGGAGGCTTAGCCTGGAGATGAGGGAGGGGAGATGGGGCAGCAAGCTGTGCACTGTCTCCCCAGAAGGGGGGGGAGGCAGATAGGGATGCAGCCATCCCCACTCCGGCTATTCCAGCCTCTGGATCTGGTGGGGACTGGAGCCTCCCTGGAGGCTCGGCCGCCCGCAGGCCCCCGGGGTGGGATCCACGCATCGCCCCTGTCCGCGGGGGAGGGCAAGCCCAGAAATAGTGAGGAGACAGATGCGTGGGCCTGGGGAAACGCCGGGGTTGTGTAAGGCAGAGCGAGGGGAGGAGCGAGCCCGGGGTACGGCAGCGGTGCGGGGCTGCCCGGCCC